CCCACCCCACTCTAGGGTGGGAACTTGCTGGATTTCACCCCTGATCTAAAATCATAATACAAATAACTTAAAAGCACAACATGTATAATTACAGCCAAGAAACTGACCTTTTTCAAATCAAGCAATAAACTCAGGGGAAAAGGCTTAATAGATTTTACAGACTTTGACACAGCTCTTGGAAGGTATTGGCTGATGGAGGAAAATGCAGTCCAATTTATGAGATCACAATTGTGAGATCACAACACACTAAAAAAATGTAACTTGTCTTTTCCTTTGGTTTGTTCTATGGTTAGGGGCAAGAAAGGGAAATTCTGTAGATACCCATTCCACAGAAATCTGCTGCCATTAAGCAGACTTCCTGAAAATTTTTTAGACCAGCCTTTTTTGCTCTCAGCCACTTAAAATAATGTCTTAAAATTCAGTCAAATTTGTCACCGTATACAGAAGCCTTCATTTTTAGCCTTTTTCTATGTTCACATATTTTGTTTTGATGTTGATTACCATTCATCACTGTAATTTACCGTGTTGTTTAGATAAAATGGAATGATAAATATTTTAGAATATAATCTTCAAATGAAAAATCAAATATAGCTGCCTTGCCTGAAGTTAGTATGCAAGTTCAGTTTCTCATCTAGAGGCAGAATGAATTACGTTGGTTTCCCTGTAGTGGTTGTCCCATTTTTCCCTTTCATTATATATCGATGACATATCTAGCTTTTTAAGGTCTTTTTGCTTCATGCTGTATTGAATTAAAATTTCCTTTCCTGAAATCATACTGTAGCTATTCAGCATGTTAAGAATGTGATTCACAGCTGACCTGCACATCCTCATAATACTTAGTTGTCATATAGAAAATAAAATCTAATCTCTCTCTCTCTCTCAAAAACACACACACACACACACACACACACACACTCCTGGATCATTTCCAGAAATTCGCCAAAGGAAAGAGGCAGCCTTTTCATATTGTGATTGGTAACTTATATACTACTAAAACTCTCGTGTCTGATTGTTTGTAACATTAAATTGGATGAAATGAGGCATTACATGACTTTTCTGGGATTTAAATTTGGAAGTTGTTGCCACGTCAGTGCTGCCATGCTAGAGTCAGCCAGTCACATGATTGTTATTTCCAATGTTTTCTGCCAGTCTCTTACAAGGAAAGTCATTGGGGAAGCTGGCAGGCAATCATTCCTGCTCCCGCTGTTTTGTTTTGTTTTTTGTCCATTTGTCCAAACTGATTCTCTGTTTAGAGAAGCAATTTATCTCTGAAATAATGAATCACAAGTTGTCTAGTAGGGTATCATGTCTCTTTACAGGACATTCTATAACATTTGCTACTTAGAAAAAAGCATTGGGCATCAGTAAAATGTACAAAAAATATTATGTAACTCCTGCTGAGTGAGTTTCCTCATTTTCTTACCTATCAAACATTTATTACTACTATTTGAGCCAATTCCCATGGATTCTGATTAGGACTGATTTGAAGATTGAATCATGAATCTACTGTGTTTTGAAGTTATGAAGTTTTGAAGTCAGAATATTATAAATGTTCATCATGATCAGTGTCTATAATCAAGTAGTTCTAAATGATTGCTGACTTTTACCATTGGATGCATAGAAATTTGAAAGTTTCCCAAAACCAGAATAATTTATCTATAGAATTTCCTTTGGGTAAATGATAACTTCCGATTTCATGTTCCATTCTTCCTTTGTGCAGGAAGCTGACCTGCTAGAAAGGCTGAAATTCATGCATCCTTGTGTCTTTCTCATCTTGATAACTCTCAAAATACAGATGTGATGCCAATAAAATAGGCATTGTTACAATACATAAAGAAAATTTAACCAAAATGTTTTATTGATACATTCTTGGACAATATCACAGGATTGAGAATATGGAAAGGGGGGAGTTTTGCAGCAAAGATTTGTTCTCACTAAATTGGCACATAAGCAGCAAGATCAACGAAATTACTTATTACAAACAGTATAAAACATACATGCTTTTTCCTTAAAATTCTTTTTTTTTAATCACACGGGTCAGTCAATTGGGCATCAACAAAGAAGGGAAAAGAAATTCAAGACATGTAAAAGCCATTTTCTTTCTCCCAAACAGCATAAGAATTATTGAAATTATTGCAAAATTATATACTTAATGAAAAACAAAAATAAAAAAAAAATCAGAAAAGTAGAAATACAAATACTTAACATAAAATATGAACAAATTACACTACTGGCATGCATTCCAAATACTGAGACGACCTCTATCAAAGCTCAGCAAACCGTTCTGCTTTTTCTGTTGCCATCAGAATTGTGAAAGGCAGAGGACGAAGGTGGAGGTGAGGAACAAGGAAGGGGCTCGCTTAATCAGCACAGTTTTTGGTCTGAGACTTTTTTCTCCCTTTTTTAAAATAATAATAAAAAAATAATGTATATGAATTGTAAGTATTCCATAGTGATCATCCATGTCACAAATATAAATGCTTCCCAATCTTTGGGGGCTGGGGGTGTCCTTTATTTATTTTTTTTCTCCCTACTTAATGTGCTGTGAAACGAAGAGAGCTTGCATGAGGCTGTGCATTCCAAACCATTGTTAATCCTCCGAAACAACGTAAATGGCAATATGTGAAAAGAACAAAGAGAAAAAAAAATTTAAAAAAAAGAAGAAAAGAAGAAAATCCTCACAAACTGTACAGAAAGTTGAAAAACTTGCAGTTTGGAAGTACATATAAAGACAAAAAAAAAATAGCCCCTTGAAAGTCACTTTTGCCAATTGCAATCCACCGAGGAGATGCTGGGCCAATGTTGCAGGTTGGAGCTCAAAGATAATATCTCCCAAACAAAGAAAAAAGGTCCAACATCACAGCCTAATGGCAGTGCCAGTGACTTATTAAGCCAAGAATATCGTAAGAATATTTTCATTGAGCAGCTGTTCGGAATACTTGGATCCTCCATGATAATATAAGTGCCTGGCCTTTCAACTCTTCCAGCAGTACATACTCAGCAGCTTCAGGAACAGGCCTACATAAGGTTTGGTGACTGAATGGATGAAAATCTCCATCCTCCCATGATTCCGTCTGATGCAGCGGATTAGATTACCAGGTTGTTATAACTGACATACTTCTTTTTTGCGGCAGGGCCTAAGAGGGAAGAACAGAAGAAAACAGTCACAAATAGAAAAAAAAAAACATGAGAAAAATTCTGTGATGGTATATAGTATACATATTGCCGTTTGGAAAGTTTTATTGCATTGCAACAAAGGTACATTTTTCACAGTGGTATCTAAAAAGGCAGTGAATATAACTTCATTAAAAAATGAGCTATTTTAGAAAATAAAATGATAGATCCTCCTTTGGCGTCCCTAAACATTTTTTTTCCTGATACAGTATGCTTGCAAGATATAATATAATAAGAATGTTAATCTTCTTATATATTTATAATTCATCAAATTCATTTAAATGGTTTTCGATATCACAGTCGTGACTCTGAATGACTAAGAAGTTAAACATTTTTTTTAAAAAAATAGCAAAATGGTCATTAAAGATAAAACCAACAAAACAACTGACAAGAGACCTTTGAATGGGCCATCTCACCTCTCAACCTACAAAACCTGGAAGTCCATGCTCATATTTACATTGTTTTTTTTAAAAAAAAAAATTAAAAAGTTTTATTTCAGTGATCAATACATCCTGGACAGTGGTGGGATTCAAATAATTTAACAACCGGTTCTCTGCCCTAATGACCAGCTGGGTAGGCGTGGCTCAGTGGTCATGTGACCGTGTGGGTGTGGCCAACTCAACATCACTCACGTCAATGGGCGCTTTACCTTAGCTGTTACAATGTAATAAGGGTTAACCACAGAGGCAGTTTCTGTAAGCAGGGCAATAAAGATTAGGCTAGAAACAACACCAGAATGTTTCCTTCCTGTCTTCCTTACAGGATTAGCCCTGTAAAGTGGAAAAAAACAAAATAAGGCAACAACTGGTTCTCCGAACTGCTTAGAAAGTTAACAACCGGTTCTCCCGAATAGGTGCGAACTGGCTGAATCCCACCCCTGATCCTGGATGAGCCCTGATACAACATGAAGACCTTCATATGAATTAAGAGTGTTCTTGTCAAAAATGGCCTTTTTCAACTGAAAACTCCTATTCCAATTGTGTAACTGTTTATTTATTCACGATTAGTAGTATCAATAAATTAAGCAATAAGAGAAACAAAGGAAATATAAATATTATTTTAAGAACCCTTGCCCTTCCTCCCCTGAAAGATGGCTGCAACTGCAAAGGGATGACTTCAAGACAACTTTCAAACTAGGGCACAGGATGGAAACTATATTGATCATTCTTATCAATGACATATTGAAGATGGGTAGCACAACTATATCTGTCTTGTTGGATCTCTTGGTGACTTTTGAATCTATTAGCTTTATTATCCTTCTGGACTGTGAAAATTGGGTGGGGTGAGGGTTGAGGGACCACTTTATGGTGAGTCCATTACTTCTTGAGTTGATAGTTTCAGTCTCTATGTAATGGGGAAGAGAGGATAAAACTTGCTGGCCAGGAATGCACAAACCATGACACAGGGGCTCAATATGACCACCATCCAAAATTATCCATCTCTGGTCCCAAAAACAAATATATTCACCCAACTATGAGTGAACTGAAGATAATCCTTACCACCTCCACAAGCTGCCATTTGGTGATGACTTCACCAGTCGCCTCATCATGAGCAACAAGCCCCACACCTGGGACTGGTAAGAATGAGCTATCAGATGGAGAAAAAGTGGCAGGGGCCTCTGGCCCCCATACAGAAGAAAGTTGCTAGCTCCTGCTTTGGGCATCGGGCCCTCCAAGGGTCAACCCTCTCCACCATTTTATTTAGATGAAGTTGTTTAAAGTTATTGATTGGTTTGAAATAAAGTATCATTAATATGCCAATGATACTTAGTTGTACATCTCTACCTCAGAAGCTGAAGAAGCTTCTTGGATGAGAAGTGAAACATCTTCAAAGAAAAACAAGAAAATCCATTTTCCTCTTGAAAAAGCACTTTTGCTTTTTCAGAATGACTATCTCAGAATGAATGGGAGGTACAGAAGAACTCTGGATTCAACGTCTGGAAACTGTCAATATCTGGGTTAGAAGAAACAGTTGGAGATGAAATAAAGATGCTCAGAAAGGAACCTACTAAGTGACCTAAGCAGGAACCCCAATGTGTCCCTACAATCCAACTTCAGATTCTGGTGCTCACTTTCTGAGTCACCATTCAAATCTTGGGGAATCATTACACTCTCTCCTCCCCCACAGACTTTGCAGCTGTGCTGATGAAGATCCAAAGCTTGGAAGAGAACATCTTTGTCCTCCATTGTTATATATGTCCATAAACCCACAAGCATTCACTCATTTTCCCTATCACCATTATCTTTTCCCATCTCTTCCTTCCTATCAAATTTAATTACCATTGTGTGCCTTCCTGCCCTGTATTTTCCAAATGAAAATTGTTGGAGGCATCTGAACTAATGCAGTCTCATTGTTCTCCAGCTCCAATAATTGCTGAAATGCATGCCAATAGATGAACTCTGATGCTTTCTCCATTGTCAATCAACTACCGGTACATAGCAAAAAAGAAAGGTCAAAACTACAGAGACTTAGTAAAGGGTTCACAGGTTACAGGGAAGTCAGCCAAGGACTATATGTGGCATGTGACCTACAATTTGCAGTTATACAGTCTGCCCATATGCCTGGAAATAAAGCCACTGATGTCAATAAAATTTACTTCTGAATATGCTGCATCGTGCTGCTAGTAACTAAGCAGCATGACAAATTCAAGCAAGGTTCATCCAGTGTACTAAACCAAGAACAATGAATCCCTAATTGTCAGTTTGGAGAAGAGATTTTTGTGTCATTGATAAAAGATTACTTTCTATTCTGTTTAGGAAAAAAAAAGTCCTATTGAAAGAGTTTATGTAGATTTTACATTTTGAAGATACTTAATATACCAGCCACATTCACTTCTTTTTATCACTACAGTATATCTCTTGTTTCTATCTCCCCATCATGGCCACCAATAAATTGTATTTGAAACTGTCAATATTCACTCTCTGGCAGACAATAAGATGAAACTCAGATACAAAATTATCACATTTCCACGATTTAGAACATTTTACCCCATTGTGCTATATGCACATATAAATATTCTACAATATTTATTCAGACAAGCTTGAATTCCATCATACACACACAAAAAATGGAATTATATGATCCACTTGGGGGCATCATTTAGGAGTCCCAGTGAAATGAATGGTGATTATATTAAAGGAAAGCTGCCTGGCTGGGCACCAGTTTAATTCCTCTTCTGAATCTGTGTTGGAGCAGCTGCAGGCTGATTATTTCTGTGGCTGGGGTGGGAGGAACGAAATCAGCTGTAACATTTTGGGCATCTGTTGCTGCAAAATGCCATAAATCTAATCTGATACGAACACCTGGTAAACAAGATCCTGAAAGTAATAATAGCAATTGCATTAGATGTCATAAAAGGTATATACAAAATGGTCAGAATGGATTACACACCAAGTTCAGGTTTTGAAGCTTTGCAGTAAGTGATATGAAATGAAAGGTTCAGAATCACAGTTCAGACTCTGCAGTACACATGTTTTGTTGTGATGGTGTCAAGTCACAACAGCCTCACAGTAAATGTCTCTGAAATGGAATGAAAGCTATTAAAATAAAAATTGGGTGTCAAGTATTCCAAGATAAATGGTAAAGCAAAACCAAAAACATAGGTAATAAACAAATTTTTTGTAAGTCACCCAAAGTCTTTGGGAGTGGGCACCATACAAATTTTCTTAAATAAACAGGAATAAAAACTGTTACCATATGTATGATATTAGTATTCTAAATACAATGAGTTTATCATAACAGAGTAAGTAAGGAATCTCTAGTTAAAACTACAGTGAAACAAGATTTCAGAATTTGTATAAGAACTATTCTTCCAGTTACATTTTATTGGCTGGTATTGCTTTACAGGCAGGTTTTTTTGCTACTTCACATAAATAGCAGGGAATTTTTTTAGTAATTTCACAAATATGACTCAGTGCAACATTGATTTTCTGCAGTTTGATTTGGTGAGTCATAAAATGAGTGTATTTAAGGGTATCCTCTGTTACAATTTGCTCACTCACAACATGTCACACTGTCATAATCTAGAACCTACAATTTGTTCCTAAATTTAGATTTGTTTAGGGGGAAAAAAAGATTTCTCTAGGTCTTCTGGAGAATAGCACAGTATACAGTTCCTAATGAGGAAAGTGTTTATTCAATTGAATATACTTCTTTCTTTGGCTAAAAGCTCATTTCAATCCTAAAGCAAACATAAAAAAGCCTGCTTCCTTTGAAATGTAATTAAATAACATCGTAAGCATGATAATTTGCAGACGTCTAGTGGCTTGGTCTCTTGACTTCAAACTCATTTTCTACTTCCCATCAATTTTGTTTGCTGTGCTTTTAAGAGCATTTCTCTCTTTCCCTATGCGCTTATTGGATTGTGCTTGGGTTGTTTCCTTTTTATATGCAGCTAATTGCAAGATTTGGTAAGGAGGTGTTAGATGATTTTTTTTTTATCTCATTTATCCATGTGAAGAAACGTCTGAACTGCAAGAACATTGGTGACCTATACCATAGCTGACTCTAGTACGTACTCATGGCAGACAATTTCCCTTTCCTAGCAGGTAGATGTTTTTGGAACAGAGTAATAATGGCATTCTTATTAACATCTACAGCAGGAAATAGCCGGTTATCATCAGTTGAATATTGGTCATTCTCATGAAAATGCAGGCTAGTGTTGAATAATAGATAAACAACCCTGCAACATGACCAAATCATCTTCAAACAGAACATCAGTGCTATAATTTTCTTTATTTATTTTTTTCATTTTGCATAAGATATATGTTTAATATAATTTAATACAAATTAAGCCTGGAATGTTTAATTTTAATGCAATCCTTTAAGTGCATTTAGTGCAATTTAGTTGCAGCATTTAATAGTTCTGTTTCTCACACAAAGATAAGTGTATGAACCAAAATAGGACTGAAATTGGGAGAGAAATATTTGCTTTTATTTCTACACACTGAACACTGCCCCCAGTTCAAGGAAAACCTAATTTCTACCACAAGATTTAATATTTCACACAGTTGTTCATATAATTTTGAAAAGATTCATTTGTGGTGTGTGTAGAATTGAAGTAAACAGAGAAACAAGAGGTCTTGCTAGGGAACAACAAGAAAATGATTTGTGAGACTGACAGTTAAAGTAATTTCATTTCTGCAGTATTTGTTTGTTTGCTTGTTCCATTGTATCTATTCAGAAAAATTTAAATAATTTACAACATGAACCTTGCTTAATGCATACTTATTAATTTTCCTGACATGATTGTAAGACTTCTCTTATGAGATTGCTTCTAGCTATACATTAAAGTTCATCTAAGGAATTTCAGGCCAAAAAAGTCATCATAGCAAGATGATATACATTTTGTTTTCTGGTTAAATGACAATCAGAATAGAATTATAATAATGATGTTTTGTAAAGGACAGAAATGAGGCACTAAAGATTAAGAGAATGCACACTGCAATACAAATAAGTATTCATGAGGAAGTTACTTTCTAGAAAAAATGCAAATGGAAACCAAGTAGTTTTAACAAAGAAAGTACCTGTACTATCCTTGAAAGTACTATCCTTGAAATAAACGTAAGCCAGCATTAAAAACCATTTCTCACAAATGGCTACAATTTGTATGATACTGAAGTTTATTATATATTTGTTGATTTAGAGAAAGGTTACTATAAAATGAATTATGGGATCTTTAGCATGGTTATGGAGCTGAGGTGTGGTACAGTTAAGAGCATGGGTAGAAGAGGTCATGGAATTTTGGAAGAAAAGAAGGCAGGAATGTACATGGAATGCCTACCACTGAGGAGAAAGAAGACAAGAATCTGGGATGTCACTTTGATGCAAGACAAGATACAACAGACACTTCTGGTGGGAATATCTGGTGGGAGTATTGTACATAAATGATGCATTTTGTTGATTGAGAAAGCAATGATTCTCACATAATATAGGTAGCTTGTATGAAACAATATGGATATGAACACTGAGGTATCAAAGAGCAAGATATTTTATTCCAAAGGGAAAATGAAGAGCATGATTGCAAGTTATGCATAAATGACAAAAAGAAAGTGGATGATTTGTGTACTTTAGTAGAAAAGTTATTGAAGATAGGGAAACATAAAATAAGAACACAGCTGAGAGTGAATTGGCAATGATTGATTGTGAATTGTGTAACACTGGTAATGGCTGAGTGGGGAGCATATACAAGTAGCACACTTTGATAAGAAATGTTCAAATCAGTCTGTTGGGCTTTTTGCAAGGAGAAGCTACATCCCCCCCCAATAGTCTTCTCTTGGGACCCTTAACTTCTGCCTTGAGGTCATTTTCAATTAGCAATAATTGCACCTTAGATAAATCTTGTTGGCTACCATGCTAAACTGGTGGGCGTCTCTCCTCACATCGTTACTAACATTTATCAGTTAAACTGGTAATATTCCAAAAGACTTGAGGCTTAGAATAGCCATATCTATTTATTTAAAAAAAGAAGAAGACCACAACAACAACCTGGTTAATTATAGTTTTATTAGCCTTCTGAGTATGCTTAGGAAATAATATACTAGACACTTACATCACAAACTACAAGACTGGATAGAATCAGAAGTCTAATTGGGAATGTGTAGGCAGTATTTATAAAAGTGAGGTCAACAACGGATCATAATTTCATCCTTCGTCAACACTCAGAAATGTAAACCTCCCTGCATATGGCTTGTTTAAATGTTAAAGCTGTCTTGATTTAAAATCTAGAGCAGACCTTTGGAGGAAAAATGTAATGATACATCTATTGATAGGCCCCTCCCTTTTCTGCTGCAGAATTTATATTCAGACATTTTTCTAAGACTTCGATTAAAACATGTCAAGGCAAAATCTTGGGCACAAATTCTATATAGCATGAAAGTGGGAATTTATGCCAACATAAATGAACGGGAGCTGGTGCAGATGAAATTCTTGATAGCCATCTTTGCTTCCCTAATGGGACAGCCAGCGCCCATCTTAGACTGGAGATAGGAATACCTAAAATTCAGCTTGGAGTTTGATGGTTAATCCTCAAAAGTACAATTTTTTCATAAGACCTGCCACCTTCAATTGTTGCTTGAACAGGAAATTGGTGAGAGGGAAGAAGGTTGTATAGAAGATTTTTTTGGGCACCATTTTTAATGCTGTTCCAACTAAGAAAATGCTAATCCAAGGAATAAAAGATATGAAGCATCAAGTTAAGTAAATAGATTACAAACTTTGGGTTGTTAATGTCCATGAGAATCATCAAATTATTTATATACTATCACTTTTCCCAAACTGAGAAGAATACTTTTTTAAGTTAGAGAAAATGTTAGGATATTGAATTTAGTAGCTGGAACAGTAAAGTGTACAAAAGCCGAGGTGGCGCAGCTACTGCAGTACTTCAGCTGACTGCTAGTTCAGCAGATCAGCGGATCAAATCTCACCGGCTCAAGGTTGACTCAGCCTTCCATCCTTCCAAGGTGGGTAAAATGAGGACCCAGATTGTTGGGGGCAATATGCTATTTAGTTTACTGTCTTTGGTGTAAGCCGCCCAGAGTCCTCGGAGAGTGGGCGGCATAGAAATATGACTAATAAAATAAATAAAAGGCTAGCACAAAAAAAAATTGTAATTGATCAGTTAGAGAGTGCTGACTCATACATGATGCAATCTACTCTATGATTGGTTGCTGTAAATATAAAGGGGGTGTTTCCCTTTTTTCCCTCCTTTTTCTTCTCTGTGTTCTGTATAGTGTTCAATTTACCTCATGGTGTTCCTGTGTTCCTGACTATCTTTTTGTGTTTGTTTTTTTTTAATGGATGATGACAATAAAGACTATAAATTTGTGTTTGTGTCTCCGACTTCATCTGGACAGCTGCTGCGCAATTCCATGACAGAAAGCATAATTCCTTCTATCTTACTGCAATACAGATATGCTAATGTCCCATTAATTGAACATGGATGCTAATGAGAAACTATTACAGTGTATATTTTACAGGATCATTTGGACCAATCTCCTGGTGCCCCTATTGCACAAAGTAGCTAGAAGATTGGTCAAGCACTTCAAAAGAAAGCTGTGTAATTCCTTTTAGAAGAGTTGAAGCCTCCTAGCACTTGCTTAGTAACTTCAGCAAGTTTTATGTTGCTGCAATGGAAATAATGCAAAAGTTGGTACAGGGATGATTTTATTGCCTTTTTGTCCAGTTCCACAATGTTGCAGTTTTATAAATTATAGATGAACTATTAAAATACTTTCTAGTTTTAGGAAGTATTTTGAAATGGCTGTTGTTTTATTATGCTTTATTCTAGTTATAGATTTAAATTATAGGTTTAAGGTTTAAGATCGTTTTAAAGTGTCACATTTTTGAGAATTACTATAATCTCTGCTATTTCTCTTTTTTCCTTGAAAGGATCTTGCACCTGAATTGTTGCTTTGTATTTTCTATTTGCCTGTCTCACTTTCATTTTGTGCTGTTCCTTGACTGAATACAGATGACCGTATGAAAATGCTGAGGTTCTGCTAGATCTGTGATGGTGAGCC